GTATTAAATAAAAATGTGCATGATTTCCAGTCTTTGTCCCAGTAGCATATAAGGACTATATGAAAATAATTACACAAGATTTGTGTAGTATAGTCACATAACCAGAGATGCCCGTTTAAAAATACAACCTTTTAATTTTATCATCTTTTGCTCTTTTCTTTTGTTTATATAATTTTTAGTTCCTTATTATGATGTCAAAAAGTAAAAATAATATTGGGAGGATAAGATGGCTGAAAGGGAAGAGTGGAGGCCATTATAAAAATTGCTTGTTCTCATTTTTGTTTTGTACATAAAATAAAATAAAATATCCTACCATATTGTGTTTTCAAACACAATCATGTAGTCATATCAGAGAACTAAACTAAATAAAATATATTCTCTTTAACAGTAATTCAAGAACTATGAAAATATTGTGTAAGTGGAGTGTTACTGGCTACTCTTAACATAAAACCATAATACATAAGAAAACAATTTTTTCATAAATTAAACATACAGATATAAAACTACAAATACTACTATGTTGCTTTTTACACACAATTAACATAGAGAAAATCAACATTTCACCTTTAATTGTGAAAAACTTAAACTTTTGATATTTTCCATTGTCTCCTACAAACATCTACAGTGTATATCTAAAATCTGAATTTAAAAGACTAAATTAAATGAAAAACTTATATTCAAACAACTAATTAAAATATAATGGTTAAGGTATCTACAGGAAATGGTCAAAATGAGCAAATTATGTGTACCTCTATTTCAGAATTAATATACAAAACTATTTTTAGATGAAACATTTTTATTCACTTAAATTGGAATTTTCCAAGTTTTAAAAATATTTACAGTATTTAATGAAAAATCACTTTAGGATTTAATAAATCATACATTTAACAATTCTGCAGCTCAAATATCAGTTTAGTTAACATTTTGTATTAAAAACGTTTTTATTACTAATATGACAGGACAACTAGTTCATACCATATGCTCACTTGGTCATTCAGTGATATTCAAAACAAATCTTCCAATTATCTTGAAATCAACACAATTACCTAATGGATACAGATGTACTTTTGTCATCTTAATAGAACTATCAAGAGGATAAAATTTCCATTGATCAACTACAATAGAATTAAGAACTTATCTGAGAGAAAATGAGCAACAAGATGTTGACCTTTTTTCCCTTGTTTTTGGTGTTTAGCAGATTAAACAGAATTTCATGCATGATAACAATATTCTTAAGGTCTACCTGATACATTACAAGTTACAGGTGACACCTCTCATTCACTGGACTAAGTATATTAAAGGACATATCTATCTGTTAAATTTGATAATTTCATTCAACTTAAATGCATAACAATAGGTATTGTATATATTTTTTGTTAATGTATAAAAAAACAGATCAGTTAAAATAAAACCCTGTTTAACCCTTTCAAGACAAATCACAAGTGAAAGGCCATGTCACCTCATTTGTTGACTCACATTCAAAATTTTATTCAACTACTATTTCATGAATTTATGTCAATAACAATGGTATCACACTGTAGATTATAATTCAAATTTAAGTACTATACATTACTCAATTTCTTAATTTAAAAGTAAATATTAAAAAACACAGATAAACATCAATTTTTGTGTGTCATGTGGTATGTTGAATGCAGCACTGGTTCAAATTAGATGTTTCTGAAGTCAAAATATTAAGTCTATAGTTTCATATGAATTAGAAACTCAAATTACCAATATTGACAAGCTAGAATATAAAATAAGAATATATTATCTTTTCTATTTGCTCATGTAATAAGTCAATGCACCCGCTCACCTCTTTCCATCTCTTACATCTATATATGACATGAATAACCAATCAGAAGCTCAGAATGTCCCCCTAATAGCTTTCTCAGCCATTTTATGGGCTTGGATGCCATTTATTTCTTTTGAACCAATATTTCAACAAGGTAGGGTGTGTCTTTAGTCTGCTCAAAATTTAATATTTTTTTATACTAAAATACATCTCACTTACTATGCTTGATAAATTATAGTGTAATTCTATGGCATTGATGTAGTAATTTATGATTTTTTAGTTATTCAAATGTATATATAAAACCTAAAAAAAAGAATTGTTTCATATCCTCCACGTGCAAAATTTTTAAATGCTAAGTAGCCTATGTAAAGCAGCAACTGAGTACAATGGATGTAACTAGAAGAGATAATTGTTTGCTTTACTTCTTAACTTACTGTTCTATGTTTAAGAAAAATAAGTTTAAGAACATATTTCAAAATAGCGATAATCTATATACATATATAATGTATAATAATTGAAATGTGACTATTTTACAATATATTAGTCTCTTAAAAGACAGCCAAGACAAGTTACTTTGTACAGACCAAATGTCAGTTTCATGTCATTTGATATGGTAACATGAGTGCGCGCGAGCCGCATCATTGTAACTTCTGTATTGTTAGCCAGGCACAGGTGTAAGAACAATATAATAAAAATAATATATATAGATATATAAATGTATAATGTTATGAGATTTAAG